TTCGCCCGGGGCCTCGGCGGGCGCCGGCGGCCCGGGGCTCGATGACCCGGCCGTCCGGACCAAGTCCGGACTCCCGGCCGGGCCCGCCGCCCCGGGAGGCGACTACCCCTCGGCCGCCGGGCCTGAGGGGGGTGTCTTCGCCAAGCATCGCTCGCAGGCACCATCCCAGACCCAGACCCAGGCACAGGCGCAGCATGGAGCTTACCCGCTGGGTCAGCACGGAGCAGCGGCCTTCGCCGGCTCGGCCACCGGGACTTACTCCTCGCAGGCGGCGCATCGCCACCCTGGCGAGGAGTATGCCTCGGGGCGCTTCGTCCAATCGCACCCGGACGGCACCGGCTCGCAGGCCGGGCAGCAATATCCGCAGCCACAGCCGCAGCAGCCATCGCAGGCACAGTATGCGCAGCAGTATTCACAGCAGCAGCAGCAGCAGCAGCAACAGCATGCCTATCCACTTCAGTCGCAGCAGCCATCGCAGGGGCACCCGTCGCAGCAGTTCCCTGCCAGCCGTGCGGGGGCCCCCCCGTCCGCGCAGGCCCCGCAGCACTCCTACCCGCAGACCACGGCCAAGTACCCCCTGCAGCAGCAGCAGCAGCAGCAGCCGGTTGGCAATGCTCGCGCTGGGCCGGGGGCCGTCGCCCCGGGCGAGGCCTACCTCCCGACCGCCGGCTACCTGGAGGATGCGGCGGCCAGCCCCGGGGCCAGTGGCCCGCACTCCGGGCCCTCGTACCTGGACCAGCCCGGCAAGCACCTGCACCCGGGGCCCTCGCGCGGGCGCGACCGCTTCCATGTTCAGCAGCAACAGCCGGGGCATTTCCGCAACCCCGATCCCGGCGACGACGCGGAGATGGCCTCCGGGTCGCTGGACAACCTGGCCTTCCAGGAGACCCTGCTGTCGGGCCCGGGGCACTCGGTGCACCCGTCAACCGGGCCGCGCTCCCATGCGCCGTACCATCCCCCGGCCGAGGGCGGGGCATCATCGGCCGGCGGGGCTGCCGACGCGGGCGCCCCCTCGGCGGCCCGGTCGCCGGACTACCGGGCGCCCGGACACATGGCCGGCCGATCGGCCTACTACGCGGCCCGCGGTGCCGAGGGCGCCGAGGCCGAGACATCGCCGGTGATGGACCCTCGGGCTCGGCAGGCCGGGCTGCCTGGCACCGGCCCGGGCTTTGCCGCGGACACCGGCCCGACCGGGTACCCGGCGCACCCGGGCGCCTACGGGCCGGCCCTGCCGCCGGGCTCGGCCGCCGGCATGCACCCCACCTCGACGTACCATGCGCAGCAGCACCCGGCCGCGGCCGGGGGCCCGTATCATGGGCCGGCAGCACAGCAGGCGGCCTCCGCCGCCGGGACGTACCTCGTGCCCTCGGCCGGGCGTGCAGGCTCCCTTGGCGGCGGCGGCGGCGGCGGCCAGCAGCACCAGCACCGACCGGCCGGCGGGGCCCGCGTCCATGACTACTCGGACCCCCGGTACCGTGGCGCTCCCTCGGCCGATGGCGGCCACTACGACCAGGGGCCCGGGCCAGCGGCCGACCTGTCCAGCGGCGGCCCGCACCACCCGGCCCACCCGCCGCATGGCCACGCGTATCACCATGGCGGCCAGTATGCCGACCAGTATGGCGGCCAGTATGGCGGCCACTACCCCAGCCAGTATGCCCATGGCAAGGAGTCGGCCGACATCGGGCCCGCTGGCGGGCCGCGGAAGCCCGGCCCTCACGCCGCCTCGAGCGACTTCCATGCGGCCGAGTATGCCGGCCACCACCAGCACCATGCCCATCTCCAGGCACAGCCGTCCTCGCAGCCGCAGTATCTGTCCCACCATGCGCCGCACTACCATGGTGCGTCGGACGCCGAGCCGGCACCCGGGCCCCTGCAGCCGCAGCCGCAGCCACAGCCGCAGCAGCCGCAGTCGCAGTCGCACCCCCACGCTGCGCCGGATGCCCCCTCCTCCGACGCCGACCCGGGCGCCAGTGCTCCCGGTACGCCCGACAGCCATCGCCCCCTCCCCTCCCCCCCGGTTAATTCGCTTGACACCGTACTAACAGCCAGCGCCCCTCGACTTGGCACGGTCGCCCGATGTGGTCGAAAAAAAAAAAAAAAAAAGACCACGCCCCTCGGCTGGGCGTCTACCCGAGTGACGCGTTCGGGGCCGAGCGCCAGGCCAGCCCCGGGCTCGGGGCCGGCGGCCATGCGTATGCCCTGTCCTCGGCCTCGTCCAGCGGGCTGGCCCTGGACTTCGGCCACGGCCTGGCCGACTCGGGCCCCGTGTCGACGCCCTCCTCGGCCCCGAGCACCCCCGGGCCCGGGGGCAGCGGCGGCAGCCGGTCCGGCCCCGGCGGCGGGGCCTCCATGTCCCGCAACCGGGCCCAAAAGGCCACCTCTGCCGGGGCCGGCCCCGGCGGGGCGACAGGCCGCCCGGGCGGGAGTACCGGCGGCCGCACCGGGCCGCGCGGGACCTCCCCCGGTGGCGGCTCCACCGGCGGGGCGGCCATCTTCGTGC